ACATATATGAAATATAACAATACAACTGGAAGAGAGATAATTTCTCGCATTCCTCCTCCTTCATTTTGGAGACAAAAAGTTGAGAATTGGAGTAATATACATATAGATGCACACTGTGCACAACTTATATAAATTACGATTATAAGTACATACATAATATAATTAATAAAATCGAGAGATTACACGTACACACACACACACACACACACACACACACACCTGAATAATTCCAGCCAAAGGTTGCTTTTGATTGAACTCGATGAGTTGCGGTACTTGATCGGTCATCTGAACGGCGATTTTCACGATATTCGAATCCTTTTGAACCGGCATTTTGATTGCTTGAGTATACATAAAAGAAGCGAGAACGAGACCCGTACGGCGAAATGCGCGATTACGGTGTTCCGTGCACGCTGCTCCAGTTTGTTTACAATCCGTTGGCGAGCTTTGACGTTTCCGCTGTCATTCGACGATTTCTGACTGACAGCGATCCAACGATCACGTGACTGCAAAAATTAGAGCAGGCGAGCCCGCTTCCGTCCATCACCGGAAACGATGCTAGCCTATGTATATTTTGTGTGTGTGTGTGTGTGTGTGTGTGTGTGTGTGTGTGTGTGTGTGTGTGTGCGTGCGTGCGTGCGTGCGTGCGTGCGTGTGTGCGTGCGTGCGTGTATGTATTCAATTCAATTTTTGCGTCCACTAGATTATTATTCTGAAATTAAATAAATTGGTGAATTGCCCGAGAATTCAAATTTTCAAATAAAAAAATTTTAAGATATAATGTCGTATACATGTTTTGATTAGATTTAAAATATATTTTCTTTGGAGATTTTGACTTTGATTATAAAAAAATTTCTATGCTAACTCTCGCTTAATCTCTAATTGATGCTTTTCCGTGTCTATTTTCTATATACACAGTACATACATACATATGCATACACATACCTCATTATTAACAAAAATAAAAATGACAAGAAAGTGTACCGAGCAGTTACCGAGGACAGATCTAACAGGTCCCGCCGCGCGCAGTAATACTGGCATGGCAATACTGGCAATACTGGTAATAGCAATAGTGGCAATACAATATATGGTATTTGACAGCTGCTACGTTTTTCATCGGAGCGTGTCAGCACGAAAGCATCGTTTCTCCGCCACGGTTTCAACGTGAGTTAATTTAAAGCGGCATGAGAAACGATTGAAAAATGTCTAACGTGGATTGGGAAGAAGTCAAGCGATTAGCAGCTGATTTTCAGAAGGCACAACTCAGTTCGACCTTGCAAAAGTGAGTGACGCTCTTTACTCCGCAATCCAGTTAACCTAATCTTTTTTTCTTGATAAAGTGACTATGAATAACGTGGTACTTGAAATCTGCGAATAAATTTTACTTGAATTACATTCTTGCTATCTAACTCGTATACTAAATATTTTTTCATTACAGTAGTTTGTAAGAGCCCCTTCAGACAAGTTTAAACATATGGTATTGATAGTAACATGTTGATGTAAATTGATTTCTGTTAGATTATCATGAAAGAAATGTAGTTTCAAGATCAATTTCGTTATATTTTATCTATTAAAGATACAGTTGTTTTTATCATTTTTATAATTATTAATGGATTTAGGAGAGAGAGAGAGAGAATTAATTTTTTTTACATCATGTTTCATTTTACTTCTTTTTTTCTCTCTGTAGACATTAAAATTAAAAGACATTAGGAAAGAAATGAAATTAATTTTATTATGTCAATGAAACATTATTTTCCATCTTCTGCACTAATCTGATATAATTAAATGTATATTGTAGACTCTCTGAACGAAATTGTATAGAGATTATAACAACATTGGTAGAAAACAAGCTTCTGGACATAATATTTACCAATGATGGCAAAGAATATGTTACATCTCAGCATCTTGGGAAGGAGATCAAAGATGAGCTGTATATTCATGGTGGAAAAATTAGTTTAGTCGACTTGGCGCAAATTCTTAATGTTAATCTGTCGCAAATAACTAAAATAGTAACAGAGATTGAAAAACACAATAAAGGGCTGAAAGTGATATTGGGTCAGCTTATAGATAAGAGTTACATTAGTAAAATTGCGGAAGAGATAAACGATAAACTTGTACAACATGGCTGTATTAACGTGGCAGAGTTAACACTCACTTACAATCTACCATCTGATTTTTTATTATCAGTCGTTGAAAAGGAACTCGGAAAGATAATACATGCTATACAAGACTCCCAAGATCCCAAAATTTTTTATACCGAAAGCTTTATTGCTAGAAATAAGGCAAAAATTAAAGGCGCCCTTTCAGCCATCACGAAGCCTACGCCATTATCCGCAATACTCGGGCAATGTGGTGTACCAGAAAGAATATTTTTCTGTAAGTACAAAAATAGTGATGTGAAAGAGTAATCAGTTTTTAATGTTTACGTACTTGAGTTACTATTTTCTTTCTATATTATTAAATTCCATTCAACAATATCAGACTATTAGATTTCACAAAGAATTTTTTAAATATAGCTTGATAATAGCTATATTTGTCAAAACAAAATAGTTTAATTTACCTTTTTATCTACAGACTTGTTACTTAGTGCCACATTCATTTCTTTATATACACATATATATAATATATGTGTATATATATATATATATATATATATATATATACACACATACATATGTACTATATGTATTGCAGCAATTCTGGACAGTTTGCAAGAAGTAAAACAAGTGCCAGGAGTTGTAACTGGGAAACAGAGTGGAAATAGCATTTATATACCTATTATATACTCTAAGAGTCAAAACGAGTGGGTTGAAAATTTTTACAAGCAAAATGGATATTTAGGTAAAATATGCGATTTACAGGAATTTCCAAGATATTTTTGTGCCTTACGTGATTTAATCTATTCTTATCTTATAGAATATGACGCCCTTACGAGACTCGGAATATCAGACCCGTCAGGTTTTGTAAAACGTCATTTTCCAAATGAGAACATGGTCTTTCTAAAGTCAGTGGCTGTAGGAACAGTAGTAACGGATCAAGTCGACGCCAATATTGAAGAGGTCATTGCGACCGGATCCTTCATCGACTTATATCCTCTTTTACCATCTGTATTTAGCGACGAAGATGCCGAACTTGTCATCAAATTAGCTACGAAGAAAATAAGGGTCAATGTGCATATATTTGCAAAGACAGTTATTGTTTCTGAGGCATTTTTACAAACTTTAACCAAATCCCTTGAAACGGTAGCGGAACAAAAGACTCGCGACATGGTAGCGAGCGGAAGATGGATCCAATCTATTGCTGAAAATAAATTAAAATCCAAATCTGCGGATTTAATCCTTGAAAGCAAAGTAAATAAAAAGGAAGAACGAAGGAAAAAGGCAACTATTGGTAAAGCAGGCGGCGGTAGTCAGGGCAGAGAAACCAAGACCAAGTCTACAAAGAAAAAATATCTTCAAGGAAAGATGCAGGAAAATGATTCTGACCAAGACGAGACGAGACAGACAGCGGTTGGAAGAGGTGAGATCACCGTGATAACCATAGAAGAAGTGAAAACGGAAGTTATGAAAGATGAGAACGTAGCCGTTATCGAAGAAATGGCAGACGAATTAGCATGCTATTTGCAACCAAAATTGAACAAGTTTGCGTTAACATTGGCAGAGCAATTAGCGCAATCCAACAAGACTACTAATTTAAGCGAGATTAGCAAACGTCTGAACATTCTAATAACAAACATTCGAATATTCGACAAGGGTATTAAACATTTGGACAAAGCGGATCAAGCTCCGCTGACCAAATATTTGCTCAAATCTCTAGGCATTGATTTTGTAACAAGTATATTCAAATTGGCTGCTCAACAAAATATGCTGCAAGTAGCGGAAAATCTCACGACAGAGACAAGGCAAAGATTGCTGCTCGAATTACCTGCGGATGTTAAAGAGCCATTAACAGTTATCCATAAAACCGTAATGGGAGATTCAGTGGAAGATTTTTTGAATAATGTTGACAGAGCGATGGCAGCTTGTTGTTTGGTTTTAAAAAAGTATGATAAAAAAAAAGAGCGACCACAGGTACATGCTCACAGAGAAGCTCTGTTGGAGGAACTGAATGCTACGCAAGATCCCGCATTGACATTGCACCTAGTTACAAGTGTGCTTTTCACCGCTGTTACGCAAAACGCCTTACATATGTCTGGCAGACATGTAACAACCGTTCTCGCCTTCCTTCAACAGCAACTGGAACCCAATACAATGTCGACTCTTTCCACATATCATGGTATACGATTTATGACGAGATAATCCTTAAACGAAAGCTTCTATATATATATATATATATATACACACACATATATATATATATATATATAATAAAGTGTAAAATAATAACTTAAAAAAGCATTTTTTTCTTTTCAGATTTAGTACTCAATTTGCTAAGTGCTTATAATAAAGCTGGAAGGATATGTTAACAATTAAAAAAAATCAGACTGACTTTATATATATATTAGGTGCAGTAAAAAGAAATCCATTATTTTTCCAATAGATGGCTTTAGTAATCTGTATCACGCGTAGACGAGATACAGGTATATATATATATATATACATATATATACATACATATATGTAGATACATACAATAATTAAGATGCTTTCTGCGATATTCGATAAATATATGTTTCTTATTATGAATCGTCCCAATTGGGTAATCTTCCACTTGAATATCTTCTATTTACAGTGCGTTCGGGAAGATTATTTGTCATTCTGTGTTTTTTCCATTTGATGACACTTATCAATTTGTATTAGCATGAATGGAAAGCATTCTCTATATCTACTAACATTTATTAGATATGAAACAAGAATCAACTGACTCGAATAGCGCTAAAAGCATCTTCCTAAAAACATATTTTTTACTGACACACAAGTTGGCACAAACGTTATTCTATTTTTCTTACTATTTCATGAATAATAAAGACAACAATTATTGTGTGTCACCAAATAGAAAGTATATCTCATTTTCTTGATAATATTATAATCTTTTCCACTTTTTACAATCAGCTTATTACTAAACGCATCAATACAATTACAGATGCCCAATGATGGACTTACCTATATATGTACATACGTATAATTTAAAAGAAACGCTTGACTGCTGCTCTTATGTACACGTAAATACATCACAAGTGCAGTGTTTGTAATAATAGGTTACAAAGTCGCCAATATTCGTGTGAATCCGACGCATACTGGTACCACAGTCTGTCCAATACCCCAAAACAATGCATATAAAGGTGGCATTTGATAGCCAGATGCTCTATACACAAAGGCAACTGCCGCTGAACTGACGACACCCGATGTCAGTGGCAATAGTACACCCATTATTATGATAAGCAATGGGAAAAATCTGTGGATATATGTAACATTGTGAATTGACTGTTTCACAGATAGATTATAACTTACATACTTGCCGTATTTGTGCTGTCGCAAAGTAGCAAAACAAATTGCGCCAGCAATCGTATGTACAAATATTGAGGAAAATAGGGCCCAGAGAAATATTTGATACCACATCTCTGAAAAATAGACAATGAGATGGATTGAGCCAAAAAAAGAATTTAAGTAGGATGATTTTAATATCATACTATGGTGAATTTTTTTTGTTACAAATGGAGTGATTAATTCTTCATTGACAGATAAAAAGATAGATCAAGGACTATGACCTATATATAATTAGAATTTTGTCACAGATAAGTCTATCAATTGAATTAATTGTACTAATTAAGGATGCTTTCTACTTGATGACACAAGTATTGTACTACTTTTGTACTGCTGTTTCCTGTTTAAGAGACACACAGTCGACATAAACACTGTTTGTCGATATATTCATTAAATAATAGACAGGATGATGTTTGTGCCGATTTGTGTCACTAAATGAAAAGCATCTATAGTGAATTATTCCTTTACATTACCCTTCTTATTTAATGTTAAATACAAATGAAATATTATTACTGTGTGTGTGTGTGTATGCACGTTATATTTTGTCTTTTGCTAGAAAGCACCAAGAGAGAAGTCTGGTTCGAAGTCGCTTATAAAATATGATTGTGAACAATCATAGACCATGCACACATATTCGAGAGATTGTTTACCTGCAAACGATGTTAAAGGCATATAGAATACACTGCCAGAATTCATGTTTCGCAACGTCATTTGCGGTCGCGGTAAATTGATATCTGTTTGTGTATCCATTTGCTCATTGAGAAAGAAAGTGATAAATTTGTACGATCCGCCCTCCTCACGAATCCTTCATTAATTATTTGCTTTTTTCTGCATCAGTTCTTTTGACAGTTCTTCGCCTTAGCGAAGAGGTTACATCGGAACATCGTTAAGATATTACTCCAGAATTATCAGCTAGAATTATTTCAGTTGCGATAATAAGAGGAAAAGAACGGTGGCGGCGATAATCAAATAAACATTCATTTTCGAAAGAGAAAGACTACAAGAAAGCTATAAAATTCAAACGTCAATAGGGAAACTGCCATTACTGTCAATAAAGCTGGAAATCAGTCAGAGACAACTATGGCGTACGAGTTGGTATTGAATCTTTTCTTGCACAAACAAGGAAAGTAAATTCAGTACCAACAGAAAGAAACCTGAGAGAAGATATGACGGCCTAAAACCAGTGGTTTGAAAGGAGATGAAAATTACAAAAGTGAACAAAGGTTACTAGGTATTGACCAATAAAATTATGAATATTCTAGTGAATTTGTTGTTCACTTTTGTAATTTTTACCTCATTTCAAGAATATAAATCGACTCCCAGGTAACCGCAAAATACTGTCGCGCACTACTGCTTCCTGACAAAGTCAATGTAAACTATATAGTAAAGGATATATTGAGTCATCAACACCATCTAGTAACAAAAAACCGCGGATACTTTTTAGATGACCCAATATAAGAACCGAATGGAAGACTGCAATGCATTCTAGTGTTAATTATGAAACTAAATTGCGTTCCAGAAATTATTTTACACAGTGGAACACAGTGTAACGTCTCTGTATCCTAGCTGGAAAACAGCTTTAAGTATGTACAGTCTTAAGATGTCATGAATCAATCCGAGGACTGTATTAGTATCTTAATATTCATATTCATAGTCAGGCCTTATACAATACAATATTTAGAGCTTCCTTAAATTTATCTTTAGATACTCTACGAATTATTTTATTGGCTGCTGAGCATTTAAAGATAAATTTAAGGAAGCCTTAAGAGTACAAGGTTTGACTGATGAATACGAGCATTAGACATTTAAAACAGTTTTAAAGTAAAAATGGATTATGAATATCGCCCCATATTTTTTTTCGTATTTCACAGTTGGTAGCCTTCTGCACTATAAACAATCTATAGACGGAGAGGGCAGAGATTTATTAAAGGGAGCGTTTTATATTGGCCGTAACTGTATGCCGTATGCCGTAATCTATAAGAATTAACTAATCACAGTCAAGTATTCCTCTCTCATTCGGCGGTAAGAAGAAAATATTCGAAGGTGATTCATCAATTTCTACAGATTACGCCATACGGCATATGCGTTACGGCCAATATAAACGCTCCCTATTTCCTTATATGTTTGGAAAGGCCAGTTAGGCTGTATGAACGTATGAAGTGGTATGAAAACAATAATGGCGTACTCTGTGAACATTTCCGTGGAGGCGCCGATTGAGAATCAAATACAGGAAATTACTTACGATGGCCAAGAAATTTACCAAGCGTACGTAAACAACTTTTATTGTCAACAGAGAGAATATATTGAGAAGCTGGATTAATGGAATTATCGTCTGATGTTAAATACATCTTATCTTACATCTTATAATTAACCTTAATTTTGTCAAAGAGGATAAGATTTAATATCGGTTTATATTATTAATTATGCTGCAGACCTCTTACTTTATCAGAGAACTTGGCAAAAATTGCTCAAAAGATTGACTTTAGTAAAACGAACGGTGAGGAGGTAAAAAAGGAGCAATTGGAGGGTAATGAGAAGAATGAAGAAGATACAAAGGATCCTGCTTCGTTTCAATCCTCTTTATGGCCGTGGGACAGTGTTAGAAACAAATTAAGGTTTGTCATGATTTCTTATGTGTGTGCTAAGAAGCTGTGATTATGTAATGTATACATATACGCATACTTATATATGTATATATTATAAATGTATTAAGCTTGTAATAATAATTTTAATAATTAGAAACAAAAATACAAATAAAGAATACAAATTGAATTTGATTGGTTTTGTAGAAATGCCTTGACGGAAGTTTGTGTATTGGCTGATGTACTTGCAATAGCAAAGGAAAGAAATTATATGGTATTAGATCCAACAACTCATGAATCAGCAGATGTAAAACCTATGATACAAGTATATGCTAGAAAAAAGGCATTGGCAGGTGCAGCATCAGTGCTTATGATGGGTACTGAGAGGCTACGAAATTGCCAGGCTGAATTAGCTAGAACCAGATCTACCCCTGACTTTCATATCGAGTTATTAAGATTACGACAAAATTGGCGTTTAAAGAAAGTATCAAACTCTATCATTGGCGATCTCAGTTATCGAACTGGTTTGTTTTATTATATTTTTATTTGAAATATGCATTATGTATCTTTTATATTTTATTGTTTGTGTTTTTAATGTTCCTCTTCATTATAAATCATACTATATTTATGTTATTTACCAGCTGGCTCCAAGTATACACAAACAGGTATGTTTGAAGTTACCAAAGCTGAAGAAGAAGAAAAAAGTAGTAATAGCCCACCAGCCTCTCCTAATACTGGTAGCAGCATGTCAGGACAATCTCATGGACCCTCAAATTCAAAAGCATCCGCCTTGCGAGTAACCATACCCAGCGAGTTACAAGGTGTTGCATACATCGAAGTATTATGCCAGAAAGGTAATAATAAATAAATTAAAGAAAGCAATTTGTGTGTGTGCGTGCGTGTGTGTGTGCGTGCATGTATGTATGAGTGAGTGAAGAAAGATATGTACACATTAAACACAAATGAGTAAATGTACGTTTGTTTAGATCAAGAAGATTTGTGCAGTGCAAACATAAGCTTGCTTAATAGCAGTGCAAATAATTCAAATACTGATATGCATTGGCAACAAAAGTTGGAGGCTGCACAGAATGTTCTGTTTTGTAAGGAACTGTTTAGTCAATTAGCGCGAGAGGCTGTGCATTTACGCGCGCCTATACCTCACATGGTTGTCGGAAATCAGATAATGGCCACGGTATGTATCTTGCAAATGGAAATCAAGAGTTTTCTTGTATAGTTTTTATTCTTTACTTCAGACTGAAACACACATACTCACCATAATATGTGACTCACGGTATGACTCAGACTACTGCAAGAGTCGGCATGTACATATACTGTTTATGGAAAATTGAATCGTAAAATCTTCTGCCATTTTGCAATAGTCGCAACAATCGCAAATTAACGATATTAATTTCTAAAACGAGATATTTATTTCTCGCGGAATAAGCGCGAGGTAAAATCGCGATGTATAAGACGACATTAAGATATCTTTCAAAGTTCTTTATGAAATATCTCCAAGATATTCCTTAAAGAATTCTTAAATATATCTTAAAGTTGTCTTATGCATCGATTAGATATTTTGCTTATTAAGTAACTAAAAAAAAAAATTGCAAAAATTACAAAATGATAGAGAACTTTTTGATTCGATTTTTCATGAACAGAGTAAGTACCGGCTCTTAATGGGTGATTTGGATTATCCTGTAATAAAAAAAAATTAATTTTTTTCTTTGATGTTTACACCAGGTACTTCCAGGAATTCAGTTAATAATTGGCCTGTGCCATAGCACAGGCAACGACAAAAAACCTACAGCTCCACCACCACACAAAACCGATCACGATCATGTATTAGAACACTCTCTGCATCAACTGTTACGCGAAGTACATTACAATAATAGTAATCATCCATTTCCTCATCCTGCTTCGGGACCTCTTGGGCCTAGTAAACGCAGATACGTAGCCGGCCCTACCGCCGCCGACAGATACGAGCTTTTAGAAATGACAAAGAGTCAGACGCTTTTAGAACAAATTATCCAACAAGCACAACATTTTTTCATGCGTTTGCGTACAGAATACGTATTAGACACGATAGCGAAAGAAGTGAAAGATCCGCTTATTGTTTCACATTGGAATGCGCTGAATTCGCCGACGCAGTCCTGCGTAAAAATAAATATTCTAACACATGGATATGACAGCGTATGTCGGACATCGATGGTCGTTCACGTCGGTGAAAAGTCACTGAAATGTGTGTGTCGCGACGGTAGAGTCATGCACATGAGTTATGAGCCTCAGGAACTGAGGGATCTAATTTTTTGTCAGGTCAGTTGTTTTTCTTTTATCAACATTTGGAAAAAAAACCTTAACTCGTGTGATTAAAAAATGTCAAATTCGAAATATAAAACATTCTTTTATTATATCGGTAAAATGGTATCACAATATTTGTTTCTTATATGCAGATTTATCAGCATCAAATAAGCGCGGTACAGGCTCTAGCCAAGTGTATGGGCTGGCAGTTCTTAGCAAACAGCTCGCATCTCGGCCTAGGTTCAGTGGAGCCTTTGGGAAATGCAAGTAGTTGTATCCTAGCTTCGCCAATTGGCGATAGGTATTTTATTATTCAAACTTATAACACAAAAGAAAGAATGTGTGCCTGTCTATTATTCATACATATTATTTAATATGTTTGTAGAATGATTGCTGTGCGATGTGAACCGCAAACGGGCGTGCAAGTCGCCATCGCACATTCTCCCCGAAAGGATTTCTTTCCTGGTCAACTTGTTCGAGAAAGAAAATGGGAGAATCTGGGAGGTTCTTTTAAAGAAGTTAGATGGGACAAAATGGAAGGGAAGAATTTTCTCAACAAAATGGAGCTACTTATGGCTTCTTTAACAAGTTCTTAAGTGTTGCAAATTACTTGTCAAACATTCGTATATTTATTTGTTTGTGGGACTGAAAAGATTCTCTATATTTTTCTATATACCTTAAATCTTTGCTTAGCAGCGTAGAATGAATTTGTTATTGCCCGCACAATCAATTTAGAGTAACAAAAAAAAATGAAATGAATTTTTTGTTCCAAGTTGATTATATGCAAGGTGCATTTTTATTTCGTGTACGTGTGATCAAGTAATAAATAGTGTGAAATAATGCGAAAGAGAAAATTAAGTTTAAGGTTAAGTTAAAAAAATACAGGAAATCTCCTCTGTCCCGTTGAGAAAAATATATAAAAATTCGACTATACCGAAGTATATATTATAGAATTATTCGAAACGAATTCCGATTTGAATTATTTAATTATTTCCTAGATTTCTATTGCGTTTTCTAGAAAATATGAAATAATTTCGATCGGAATCCATTTCGACTTGTTCCATGATAGATGCTTGGAATGTAATTTTATAAAATAGAACCGATAATTTTGTTTTTTAAAATAATTCAATTTCCCAAAAAAATACAAGTCAATTTATTAATAATATGCTTTTGGATTTTACCTGGAAACAAGGAGTTTCGTATCATTCCTTATCTTTTGTAATTATTACAGATTTTTACTTATTTTGAAATTTATAGTTGATTGTGATTTAGCATATATTATTTTAATTTTTGAATTATGTCCATTATTGAAGATATACCATACCTTATTGGTATGATGACCATACGTCCTTTATTGTAAAGGACAATTCTTTATTTTACATGACTGTCTTTTAGATTTGTTCTTTCAAAATTCAATCTTTATTTTCCAATATTATCCTTTACTGTCTTTTATTTTGACATTACGGGAAATTCTTTTCTAACTAGCGTTCCAATGTCTAATATTATAGAAAATTTTTACAGTTTTACGCATATAAATACGATTTGTTTTTGTTAAGTATATTTCTTTAATTTTTTAAAATTAAATTTATTCAAATTAGAGCTGTTGTCATTTTTTTATTATTTCAAATCAAGGATTTGTTCCAATACAGTCGAATCAGTTTCAAACTATCAGAAAACTGCGCACTATCTCAATTTGACTATACTGTGTAATAAAATTTTAATGTATAGATTCTTCTATAAAAAGAGTCACAAACGGGTTTGAAAATATGTAGGAACAAAGCCCTGAAATTTTCAGATTTGTCCTTTGTCTTCTTTAAGAAAATATGGTCACCGTACATATTAGTGAAATGATGAATAATTCAAATACGTGAAACATATAAATTCGAAACTTTAGCGTATTTAAAAAATTTGTAAGAAAAGAATTACAAATAATTCATTATAAATTTATCTTTATAGTGAACTAATTGCATAACTGGAGTTATTATTGTATATTATATTATATGGAACGATGGTGTATATATATATATATATATATATATATATATATATATTTTACATCTAAACAGCGATAACAATAATTTATACAACTAATATTTTACAAAAATTGTTTTCATTTCAATGTCGTACGAAATGCAATATGATCTGGATAATAAACGATTGCGAGATGTGTGATAAATGAAAATTAAATTAATTGAATGCCAAGAGATACGTCACAGTAATTACCTTAAGTGTAATCGTCGATAGATTCCCTTTTCTTTTTGCATACAGAAAATGATAATTTCTTAAATTTCATTTTTTTCTTTGTTAAACCTATTCAAGGAATCCATATTTAACGGCGCACATTGATGCACAAATATACATCTCATTTGATACAATAATTATAAATTGTAAACACATACTTATATACACACGTACGAGCGCACCGGACGCATACATTTTAGATTTTTTTCTTCCTTTTTATAATTTTTCGTTTTCTTTTTGTAGCCATGTTAAATTATGACGTTGAAAAATATCAAAAAATTACACTTTTATTTTCCTGCACTATATGACGAAATAAATAATGAACTCGTTATTATTTTGCGTTTGGTATATATAATAATACGGACTGATAAAATATCGAAAAAACTTTCTTTTATTATCCTGCATATACAACTTAACGTATAGGTGTTATGGCTCTTATGAGGTGAAAAACTAGATCTTATTATAGACGAGTGTGTAGCTATTTTTATTATGAACCGAAAAACTTATTATGAATCTTTCACTTAATAAATTTATATTATCATACATTATATTATTATATTATAACACGAAAAAAAAAATTGATTTTATTTCAATACATAATGTAAGAAAGAAAATTCATGACTCCTTGTTTCTGACGTCACAATTAAACATAACTGCAATGAAAAATCAAGAGGATATAAGCTTTAAGATATAAAGGAATAATACACATTTGGACATCATCTGAATCAAAACTGGATTATTAAAAGATTATTTTTTCTGTATCATATAATTATTTCGATGGATTAAGGGACGGACTAGCAGCTCGATTAAAATATCTAGTGCTAGAACCTTTTACAAGGAAAATAATTGGGACTTTCACGTCCAGAGATGCTTTGAAAAATATTAATTTCAAAACATGCAATCGTATACGATTTGTCTCTCAATCGATTTGGCCAACATATAGATATATCGTACATTATTGAGTTCATTTCATCATAGAAATTTAACGATGTTGCAAACGGTATCCTGCTTAATAATCTGAATGAAAAAAATCTGAACGAAGAAAAGTATCCTGCGCATTAAACCTTTCTCTACATATAATATAATATAATATAATAGAGCAACGAATACAATTTTCTTATGGGCTCTCAACACGAAGCCATTACATAAGCTTTAAATCTCAAGTCGTCAAGAAACTGATCAATTATAGTCGATTATTCTTTTGACATTTGACTGCGACAGGTCAATTTCTTACGGCTCAAAACTTGAAGTTTAAGTAACAACTTATCGTAGAATGTGCGTTTAGATATTGATGTCTAAAGGGAAAAGATGTTTGTCGTTGTGACATTAAATTCACATCAGAGATGAACTTGCCAACTATTGAACGTCTTATTAAGTAACCTTTGTAAGCGCTCAGTTTCTTTGGAAACAGAGAATTAAAGACTGCGTCCGTCCACCAACGATCCTGAACGCAAGTGTAGTTGTTATTACTAGTACTATATAAGCAGATAATAAGCTGGCTGCATACACCTGATAACGATTGAGCAATGTCATACATGAGACAACCAGATGCGATCCAACTACCCAGATAATCTGTCCCCAATTCTTCTTGTCCAAGGCATAGAAGAATATGACGCCCCAGAACGTGTGCAGGAGAATGAAACACAAAGTGGTAGCAGCTGATATTATAAAGAAGTATTCGGAACCCTGACGGAGTCCCATGGTACCAGGTCCCACTGCGTCAGCCAGGACATTGACTAAAGCAAAGGCACCACTCATGAAGCCAAAACCCAAGCCACAAACGTAAGCAAATACGTGTCTGCTATCAGCCACATGTGTCGTTGTGACCTTTTCCAAGCCTCTTTCGGCTTTACGCAGCACCCAATACAAGAGATACCTTTAAAGAGATAAAAATTTGTTAATACACTATCGTGTGGATTAACGTAAATGTAACGTTAAATGAGATTGCAGTAGGGAGATTGGATTTACCTGAAACTTTCCTGGAACAGAACAGAAAAGACTAGGCCAAATGCGAGATGTTCTTGTAATGGAACGACAGCATACCAAAGCACCGATGATAGCAGCAGAGATATCAGCCAGAAAAAAGCGCTGACAATCAATATAATTATTCTGATGGGCTCGGCAGCGATGGTGAACATAAACATGGCTAGTGGCGGGCCGAAAGCCAGACAGGCGCAACCAAAGAAATCCATGACGGTCATTTTCTTTTCAAATGATCGCGACGTGGAGTCGCGATTTCCCTTCCTTTTTTCTTCCTTCCCTTATCGTTTTGTGTCGGCCGGCGCTAGCAAACGCTAAACTCTCTTACAAGATACCTTCCAAGCCTCTTTATGGACCAGGCACTGTCTGCTACTGTCGGGCGCATTTATCTTTCCGGTATAGCGCACGATCAGATACTCGACAAATAATCGTGTCGGTCTGTTTTCTTATCGAAGATACAAATGCTCAAATACATTGGAATCAATCGCCGAATCACTCGTGTGACAATTTGACAACTTGTGGCTAATTCCGTGTCCTATCTATTTTCTATTCTTGCATGAGGTTATCGATAGCAACGCTGAATACAAAATCGAAAATCTGCGAAAATCGCCATTTGATCGATATCTCGGATGTGAATGAAATCGATATATCGAATATATACTATTGTATAATAGATGGTGCAAAGTCTGCGTCCTATTAATGTCATCTATGGCTGTTAGCTACGGTTCATTTGATGCTAAAATGCTTTGAAGCATTTTTTGATTGGTAAATTAGTAAAATTCTTTCTTCCGATTGGTCAATCAAAAGCTTCGAAGCATTTGTAGTGATTTGTAGTGTGATTTGTGCGTCAAGTAGCCGCACAATCTACAATGGCAGTTGCGTTCAGCGAAAAAAGGAGCTTTGCAACTGTTGTAAAATTCATCAATATTTAATTGGCCTTGCCCTTACTTTCTCACTGGATCTAAATGTATAAACCAATCATATTCAATTAAAGCAATTAAGATTAAAGTAATTATTCAAGATTGAAGTTTGTCCAATCAAAACAATAGGAGATAAAATTCCTTTTTCTCTAAAATCCCTATCACCTCCATTGTGTCATGTGTGTAGGATCTTATTCGTGATCGCTACTGGCTTAATTTCCAACAAGGATTTAAACTAGATCAGAATATAAGAACCAACCAATTACAATCGAGCATTTCCTTGTTACAGTCGAACGACAGGGGAATGCTCGACTGTTGGTTGGTTTTTACATTCTGGGGGTCGATTATGTATCTTGAAACAAGGTGAAAATTACAAAAGTGAGCGAATTTTTACTAGTATACTAATAATTTCATTGGTCAACATTTAGTAAATTTGCTCACTTTTGTAATTTTCATCTTGTTTGAAGATATAGAATCGACCCCCTAATCCGGATTAAATCCTCGATGGAAACTAGGCCACTGTTAGCTATTTGTCGCTATCGTCGCTGTAGTGCTAGTATTGCTAGTGCAAGGTGCAGTGGGTGCAAGTGCAGATTGTCATCCGTTATTGGCGACCATTCACCATTGGGCTGATTAGGCCGATTGGGCATTGGCCGCATTGGGGCCATTGGGCGACTTGGCGCCCGCCGTTGTGTCTGGTCTGGTCGTGTCGGTCGTTCATACGAGTAACGAGTGACGAGTCAGTAGTCGTGGGTAGTCGAGTACGCGTTGATACGCGTACCGAGAGTACCGTCGAGTGATTCTCACAGCGAGGAAGCCGCTGGGATCACGTGATCGCTAATATACATTGTATCGTAGACATGGCTGACAAGGAAGAAACTGAGAAGACCATCGCCGAGGACTTGGTTGTCACCAAGTATAAAATGGCCGGCGAGATCGTGAACCGTAAGGAAACGGTGGCGCGTGTTCGCGCGGGGATCCGCGCGATCGCGAGCGCGCGCGCGCGCGCGCCTTCTCTCAGTCCATCTCGGCCACACGAGTCACACGGTCCATATGGAATGTGTGTGCTGGTGGCGCGTTGATGCCGGAGCCGGGCCTGACCATGTGCTAGATCCGTTTTACATCCTCGACATTGCCCGCTCGCGACAGCGCTTTCTCCCAAGTTGCATCGTTCGCCGACCTCGAACATACTTGATATACACGTACAATTAACTCGATCGTCAACACCAGTCGATTGCCAGCAGAAAAGCAAAATTTTCAATTCACCGTGTCTCTGTTCTAATCTCTCCGTTCCCATATGTCGAACAATATGTCGAAATTAATTATTTCCTCCTTGTGGACGAAGTATTAAGTTAATCCATGGTCAAGATGATCTCGGAGCTTGGCTTCAAACTCATCCTTGTTTTCAATCATTTGCATGCTTTCTAAAATAATTTCGCTTGTTTAAAATAAGTTTAATTGCTTTTTTTTCTTTTTTTTTTTTAAGTTGAAGATCAGATTGTTTATTTCTTTGGTTTAATTAGTTAACTTTTTCAAGTTTTCGTCAATGTCAAAACAGTCATTTCATTTTGACTCGTAATTAAGCTGTACTTGTGTAATATACCTACTACATATTCATGTATTTTTCAGGTGTATTAAAGCAAGTTTTAAACAAATGCATCGCTGGAGCTTCTGTAAGGGAAATATGTGAGTTTGGTGACAAAATACTCACAGAGGAAACTAGTAAAGTCTTCAAAAAAGAGAAAGAACTTAAAAAGGGGATTGCTTTTCCAACATGCATATCAGTCAACAATTGCATTTGCCATTTCTCTCCTATTGCTAGTGAACCTGACCTGATTCTCAAAGATGAAGATATGGTTAAAGTGTAAGTTTCTCTCTATAGTATATTGCTTTTTTATAATCTATGATTTCTATTTTCTAGCGTTTTAAACATTGAATAACATTGTTGATTCTTCGCAGAAACTGATTTACATTAGCATGCATTTCCGTGATTAATAACGATTCGAATAATTCTGACATTTCTGATATTAATTTTTCACAAAATTAATATAATTAATGAAATTGTGTATTTTTACAGTGATCTTGGAGCACATGTTGATGGTTTTATAGCTGTAGTAGCACATACCATTGTTATAGGATCTTTAGAGAAAAAAGTCACAGGCAAAAAAGCAGATGTAGTTTTAGCTGCGCACTATGCTTCTCAAGCTGCATTAAGGCTTTTGAAACCAGGTACAGAGGTAAGATTGAATATTTGTGTGCTATCGTCTTCTTTTTTCTTTTTTGGTTTTTTTTTAAAGTAAATAATTGTAAAAAATAAAATTTCGATGCTTAATTATGTATTTCAGACTTACACAATAACAGGCACTGTGGAGAAAATATGTGATGTCTATAAATGTAAGCCAATTGAAGGTATGTTAAGTCATCAGTTAAAACAATTTAAGATCGATGGAGAGAAAACAATAATTCAGAATCCAAACGATGCGCAAAAGAAGGAACATGAAAAGTATACTCTCGAGACTCACGAGGTATATTTAAATTGATATAAAAATTAAAATAGTACTCGATACAAATTTGAGATATAAGAAGAAGAGGGGCATTATAAAAAGAGATTTAATTATGCTTATTTAATTTTAGGTCTATGCAATGGATGTATTAGTGAGTACAGGTGAAGGAGTAGGAAGAGAACAGGACACTCGAGTTACGATATACAAAAAGACAGAGGAGACATATCAACTCAAACTGAAGGCGTCTCGCATGTTTTATTCAGAAGTCTCTCACAAACATGGTCTCATGCCTTTCAATTTACGTACCTTCGAAGATGAAAAAAAAGCAAAAATGGCTGTTGTTGAATGTGTAAATCATAGATTGATCGAGCCGTTCCAAGTAAGACTATCATTTATACTACGTATTCATTTATTAGCTCCCGTGTAGCAAGCATAATAAAATTTTCAAACATTACACATTTTCATGCAGGTGTTGTATGAAAAACCAAACGAGTACGCGGCACAATTCAAATTTACGGTACTTTTGATGCCTAATGGACCTCACAAAATTACAGGAATTCCTTTTGATCTTGATATGTATCAATCTGACTGTGTTGTAGACGATCCTGAATTGAAGGTATATAGAACGTTCAATTAAGAAAAATATAATAGCTTTACAACTGCCATTTTACTGTTACAATTGATAAATTTATGAATGATTCATTCATTTATTAATTGAAAATTTTAGACCCTTTTGTATTCTTCGGCAAATCCGAAATCTGCGAAAAAGAAGAAAAAGAAGGCTGAGAAAGCTGTAGGAGACGTTGCCGTCGAAGTCGATGCTAAAGCCTAACATTGTCATTTTAAGACGTATCACGACTCAAAGGCGTCGTGCACTACTCCGATACTTTTTATTTAGTAATCTAAACTAGCAAAGGCTGGACACTTTCAAAATACGGATCAATCAGTATAGCCATATTTTCATCCGGACATTGCACAAAGTTACAACGTTATGCCTTACATAGCTACGTCCCTATATGAATCGGCAATTGTCTAGTGCACATTTATATATATTTTATTCATTCGAGGAAAGTGTCGAGTTTTTTTGCTGTTGTATCGAGAAAATTAAACTTTATCACATGCATTATGCCACAACTTTATCAGCGTTTAAGTTTTTGTACCAGATTATCTTTTAATGGATTATGGTATTATTACTATTACAAATTGATGATTATTCATATGATCATTATTTGCAATTGTATATTGCGTTTCAATCTTTCAACTAACATTTCGTACATAACAATCTTGTGTGATCGTTTTTTCTGTGAAACGTTTAGATTGGCCGAGCGAAGAGAAATGAATCGTATAGATCTAAAATACAACATATTAAAAAACGATTATTTTCGCTTTTATATGATTATATAGTTGATCTTATATAATTGAACCGATAAAATTATATAGAGTATATCTATTCAATTTATATATGCATTATTATTTTAAACTATCACAAAATTTAATTTTATGAACATAGGCGAGTTGTATATTATAACTCTCGAATGTTTCCGAAAATACGATTCCCTTTTATGTTTATTGCTGGTTTTGCGCAATTTTGTATCCAGCTGTACCATAATGTTCAATTTTCAAATTGTACAATTGGAGGAATGTCCATTTTTGGACATTGCATAAACAATGAAATGCCAATGATTCTTTGAGTGTTTCGTTGCGAAAATACCCCCGACCGACAAAAAATAAAAATAAATTATATAAGTCTTTTCCACTCTGCGCAAATTATGAATTGTGCGCGGAGTACAAATTGTTAGTAGCAACTGGAAATGCATATTTAATATTGAATGAAAGTTTATTTGAGCGAAAGATATACTTTCTCAAGAAAATATATTCTTGAGAATATTGACTTGCCGACTTGCTACAAGCCGTAAATTATAAAAATTAATATTATGTAATAATAGTTTTATATAAGAGGGATAGATAAAAATGTATCTGTGTTATAGATATTTTTTCTACTCGAGTTGTGCATACGTCGAATGTTACAAAGTGTGCTTGTATAACAAAAAGATCATTGTGCACTGTCCATCATTTGCCTTTTTATAATTGCAATCGTGTTCAAAACAAAATTATACTGATAATGTATATTTAGAAAGATACTTGATATTTTTTTCTGATAGACGACTTTATTTTTTTTCAAAATAGATTTCTTAATCCATTTAAAACTAAATAACTTTTATATATATATGTATATACACACATGTACATATATACAAAAGCATGTATACAGTGTAATGAAACAAATGTATGAAATTTTTTGCAAACGAGGGCTGTGCACAAAATTCATACGCAATATAAAATTTAACTCAGTGATGTGAAAAACGGAAAAAAAATTGTTATAAAAATGCTTGACGAGATAAGTTGACAAGTATAAATTTTGACACATACATATATATGTCATGAATTATTATATTCCATTTCTCTCTCTCTCTCTCTCTCTCTCTCTCTCTCTCAATGCAGTTAAGTATGTGTAATTTGCAAAGCATTACATATTTGTAGAAAAGCAAAAGAAAAAAAGACAATTTTATGAATTTGAATTTATAATTATACATACCGTATTTTATAAATTATCCCTTGTTAACATAATTTTGCTACGACATGATCTCTGATCAGAGTGAGAGACGATGTAAGTACAGAAATATAGAATAATATTTAAGTCGTGTCTTTATTGTTTAAATATTAAGTATTTATGACTAAAGCTGGCACACGATGCCTGTTTTCCTGATTGGATTGTTAGTTGAATTAGAATCTTGCTACCGCATTGGCTGCGGTGCTTGCAGCTAGTGTCAGCATTGGAGCCAATATAGTGACAAAATTGTAATTCAGCAATCCAGCAGGAAAATAAGTATCATGTGCCACCAGTTTTACAGATTGTGTTTTTTTTTATTACGCTATATATATGTATTACGTTTCAAAATTATACATATCGGATGTTCTTTTAATAATGGATTTTTCAATCAACTTGCTCGATTTTTCCTTAATATCAAGGAAATCATCGTTTATTTTTTAATTTTTTACATTACGTATTTTTGCAACTATATCTGTCAAACATATTTAATATTTTCTTAAACTCCGTCTAAAATTAAATGCACAAGATACAGTTTCAGTTTATTTGATTTCTTAAAGTTAGTTAGAGAAAAACTTTTTTTTTTATTTTTCATTTATTAAGAATAATTAATGCCTCAAAGTTAAAGAAAATTGGACTAGATTAGTCAAAAAATTTATCACTAGAGATATTTCCGAGAATTTTGAAACACTACGTTTTGCGTTAAAAAAAAATACTAAAGCCACTAATACCAGTTACTAAAACATCAATGATAGTGACAACTGCAATGAAATATTGCAATGATACAAACATATAGAATAATGTGCAATCTCGTGTACAAGCAATTTTTATTATACTTTATTATATATTTATTTTCACTTTTTGAATTTGAACAACAGAAATACACATTGTATGAGAAATGGGTGCTTGAAAAGTAAATTCTTAGGTAGGTATTATTGACTTGCGCTATTGTCCTGTGGAAATTTCAGTTTTAAAGTAATTGTATTTGGAGTCGTAATATCGGCAACGTTTATTTCAGTACCATCTTTTAAACCTAATTCGATCAAAGTCTTGGACAAATTCTCGCGAGTTTTCTCTTCGATACTCGCTACCATTTGCATGTACAAAGTTTTACATTTGCCGTTTATTATAGCCGTAATAGCAGGACTTTTCATTTGCAGATCTGGTCGCTCACAAAGAAGATCTATTAAATTCTGTAATTTATATTTTGAATCTTCAATTTCAATCTCTCGTGGTACTTGACTACACGCCAAGCAATTTACTTTTCTCTCTACCTCGAAAGTGTACGTGTAAACTCCATCCAAATCGTTGAGCACCTGAAAATGAAATATGTGTATTTTATTTTACCTTGTCGAGATTGCTATTGATATAAATACGGTCCAGTTTTGTGCTTCCAATAAAAAATATAATGTATGAATACCTTAATCTTGTCAAATGCAAATTAGAAAGATCAAAGACTGTGAAGATTAGAATTCAATCAAGACAAAACAAATTAAGATTAAAGTTATCCAACTGATTAAATTTTACACGCATATATACACACACACACACACACACACATGCACGCACGCACGCACATTTATTGTACATAATCCTATATATATATATATATAGATCGAGGATTATGTAAATTGGAAACTATATGTGTATGCGTGCGTGTGCATGTGTGTTAGATAAAAAATAAAGATATATATATATCTTTTGCGTGCAACAAAATATTACTATATTGTTGATTTATTGTGTGTAATTACTTAAGGAATGTAATTATTTAATTACCATGTAATTATTTAAGGATGCACTACAACTGGTTGCAAGCTTGAATGCTTCTGTCGCACAGGCAGCGGCGATAACAGCGTTTGTTGATGCCACTGCTGGTATAATGTTTTTAACGACACCCTGTACAAGTCTGTATGTCAAACCCTGTATACCGAATTGTGCTGCTCTATCATTTGACTTTTCGTAAATCCAGTTTATATGCTGGGGATCATCCCCATCGATAGCACAGTCAAATGGATTTTCCTTCGGCCATTGAATTACTTTGACATATTCTATACAATGCTCCGGCAAACGTGGAGTATTGGCTATCGTACATAAAGGATATGTGACCTATGCGAGATACAAACAAGATTCAAATATATAAAATAGACTATTAACAATATTGAATCTTGAGAAATAAATAATTGGAGATTGTACTCACTTGCGGTGGGTAAAAATCCAAGGTACACTCAATGCAAGGACTCATACCAGGTAATATAACTCGAACATTTCCCTTGAAGCCTTCGGTTCCACCATCGATCATAGGTATCACGCTGGCCTGATCTAACTCACCATTTTCATAAACAAGCAAAGACATTAACATACCATTGAGCCATCTCCTCGCGACAATTGAATCTAATCCACAGATAACCATGTGGAACTGTTGGAAGAAGGCCTCACTTTTAGTTTGTATCTCACAATTATGTGGAACCACATTACATCCGGGAACTCTAGTGTTAATGTATTTTGCAGCTACCTCTGCCTTATAAGATCCAATGTCCTTATGACGAAATAGAAACTGTCTGTAATTTAAAGCATACAAACAAAATTATTTGCTTTAAATAAAACTTTTAATAAAATATTTATTCAAACAATCTTTCGCGCAGTCCTGTCATTATTTTTATTACAGGTTCAAGGAAGAGAATCCTATCTTGACACGATATCCATTACTAGTCCTTACAAATTAGATTACATAGCATCATCAGAATGTGTGTGTGTGTGTGTGTGTGTGTGTGTGTGTGTGTGTGTGTGTACATATGTATACATTTTTTGTAACCTCACCTACCGATTGAGGTTAGACAATTCAATTGTGTCCATGTCGATTACATGAAGGTGTCTAAATCCCATCAGAGCAAGATTCTTAAGCAACTCGCATCCCAATCCGCCGGCACCGACAACGAGTACCTTACAGTGATCCACGAGCATCTGCAGATTTTCAGGAGACGGCTCGAAGTCCGGCCGACAAAATGGGCCTGATCTCTCCAGCACTTTCCGTAAACTGCTCCATCGCCTCTGCATGTGATCGAAGTTCATTATTATCGCTCGATTGTACGAACTTCGGCCTAGAATAGAAGAAAAGCAAGTTTCATTCAATTCAAGTGATCCAACTTCGGTTCTCTCTGGTTCGCTCGATGTTGAAGTCTAAGAAAGATTAAGAAGGTTGCTTCGTTAATATATTTTCCTTCTTTTTTCCAATATCTTTTTCTTCCCGCTTCTTATAAAATATAATATTGTTCCCCCGTTTTTCACAAGTAGCAAATAAATTGCAATTATTAAATATTTGCAATTTCTTCGTTGACAATTTCTCTCTCTCTCGATGATAGCGGTCACAAGCACCAAAGCACAGTCGATTTATAACCTCTATAATTTTTATATTCATTCGCTATTCGATAGGGAATTGCTGTATTTCTCTAGAGAGTTTTAACCAATGACGCACACACATATATCGAGGCATCAGCATACGGAAACTACTAGAAATGGCAGAAACTATGCTGTGTTCAGACTTGAGAGTACGTTTGAAGTGTTTGAACTGTATTGGGAAAAAGAGAAAAAGAAGGAAAAAGGGAAAAGAAGAAAAGGGAAGGGAATGGCGATAG